GCACAACTTCAGTGGAAACTGCATCACCTTCCTGTCATCATTTATCGCCTTTAAACTTGTAATGCCACAAGTACAGGTGATAGCCGTCATACTTATAGATTCATATTTTGTCCACAAGTTCATAAAACCAGCATAATATTATAGGATGTTTTTCTCCCTTTAATATATCATACTCAAACCGGAATCAGCATGTAAGATTTGATTACTAATAAACCTTTTCTAGACATGTCCACATTTCTTTCGCAGTGAGGAAGCCTTTTATTAGCCTTCCAATGTCCATATCCACGTAGCCAAAGATCCATGAAACAATTTTTGTATTGTGGATTTTCTATTGCCGGGTTTCTTTAGTATTGGATGGATCAAGTTGGGGTTCAGTTCCCTCAATAAACCCCCACAAACTTTTTCCTTCAACGAAAACCGAAAATGAAACCACCAATCAAGATAGTTTTTCTTATCAAGTTTTATGGCCAAGACATCTCATTTTTCAGAAGCCATGTTCAAATTGTATGAGCACTCTCAAACGTGATCAAGAACTTGGATCTGAGATCACAATTCAGATGCAAATTGTTTTTTTGGAAGTCAAGACAAAATCAAGGAGCAAATGAAGTTAGAGAGAGAATTAATTAACAAAAGGAAGCAACAAATAAAAAAATAGGATTTGAATCAAAGAACCAAATGAACCAAAAAAGGAAAGGCAACATAATACCAAATCCTTCAATGAAAGAGTGATAAACCAAGAAATCGAAATTTGCAAAGGGATGTGATCAAAGAACCAAAATGACGAAATTTGCGAAGGGACGGAATTTGCAAAAGGGACGTGATCAAGGAACTAATGGTACGGAAGTTTGCGGTTCGTGTGTCCTGAGATACAAATACAGTGGAGAGTGTGTTCATGATTGACCTTTTATATAATTTTGTCTTTCCGTTTTGGAAAGTTAGGCTCTGGTGGCTTACTGTGAATTTAACTTTCACAGCTGTTGTGATTGCTGAGTTTTTCTATACTCCTCAAACTTAGTATATATTCATCATTGTATGATCTATCCATGTTAATGGATTCAGTGAACATACAAAAAGATAAACTTCATATTAATTGGGAGTCATTATCAATTTAGCAATGAAAAGCGCTCTGGAAATTCATTTCAAGGCTGTGGTTTTTGGAACATTAGTAGAAGTGAAAGTAATGGGGAGAGATAAAACGACAATTGAGATAAAAAACAAAAGAAGGGAGAGAAGCAATGGTAGAGAGAGATTATTATAATAAAAACAAAGACTGATTTATGAGAAAAAGAACCTGATTGGCTAGAGGAACATCTAATACACTAAAAAAAAAAAAAAGCTGCGTTAAGCAAAGAATGAAATCTAATTTACCGAAGAAAGTAGTGAGCAAGAACATAATAAAAAGAAAGAACTCCAATCCTCCACAAGATCAAGAACTGTGATGGAGGAACTAATAAAAAAATAATCAATCTTAGATAAAACAAACCCAAGCAATGGACGGAACCGATTTGTGATCGCTCTTATACCATATCAAACACACAAAGAGGCAGAGGATAAACTTGTATGTATTGATAATTATCAACGCGTATATATAAAACAATCAGAGAGATACCTTACACAACAAGATAAACTACAATAGGTAATATTCCTATGAAATATACACTTCTTATATATAACAAAATAAAGATCTTCAATTGTCTCAACAATAAGTGCACTGCCGCCTTTTCTTATTAAGAGAGAGATAATAGGAGTCGATAAAGAAAGAAATAAGTGCATTGACGTTTTTCTTTATTTAGAAAGAGATAATAGAAGTCAATAAAAAAAGGGATAAGAGCAATGTCGCCAAATCAGGAGTATTTGACTTTCAGAATAAAAGAAATTTGTTTCAGTTAGACCATTAATGTTAGGGGTTTATGAAGGCTCCCATTTTGGGAAAAAACGGTTGCACAACCCCATTATCCTTTCCTTTCTCTCTCTAACCCCATTATCCTCTCTCTCTTGATTCAGTTACGTGATTAATGTTGGGGGTCTTATGAAGACTTCCATTTTTTAAAACCAGTTTTTTAGAGAGAGAGAATAGATTTTCAGAGACAAAAAGAGAGAATGGGTTTTTAGATAGAGAAACAGAATAGGTTTTAGAGAGAGAAAGATTGGGTTTCTAAAGAGAGAACATGTTTTTAGAGATAAAAAGATGATAGGGTTTTCAGAAAGAGAAAGAGATATTGGTTTCTAAAAAGAGAGAGATTGGGTTTTTTGAGAGAGAAAAAGATATTGGGTTATTAGAGAGAGATAGTGAATTTTAGAAAGAGAGATTGAATTTCTAGAGAGAGAGAGGGTTTTAAGTTTTCTAAAACATATTTTAGTATGTATTGAGAAAAGTTTGTAGAGTGAAGAAACTTAAAAAAAAAAAAAAAATGCTAAATGAGCCTGTCTGGGTCTTATTGGGCCTGGTCAAGCCTTATTGGCCAAGCCCGAGGCATTTTCGGGCTGTTGGGCCAATTATGCCTGCTGTGCAAAATTTTCGGTCCGGCCTGTTAAAGGCCCATACCAGCTTGATAAGAAGCACTGTCCACAATGTCCTGCCCGTTAGAAGCCCGGCCTGGAAGCCCCAGGCCCAGCCCGATTTGTTAGCAGCCCTATATCCAATACATCAAAAACTAGTTACATGAGCAATTGATCTTATAAGGTATGGAACTTGGTATGTGAATTTTTTTGGGGATTGTCTACAAATAGACAATTTATCTTTATTACAAGGACGTCACAACCATTTTCACTTATTAAATGTTAAATTGGATGGCTTGGAATGAAGCAAAAAATCTGAAAAAAAAATTTGGAACTTGATGTCTATTCAATGATACTCTTACAAACCACCCATTTTTAAATTTAAGGAACAAAAATATTTATGACCTCCTTGTACACAAGGTCTTTTCTCTTGCAAGTTTATTTATGGTGTTCATTTTTTTAGTGGCTCATGTCAAATGCATATTGAACTTTGTCATACAAAATTCTTACTGAAGTGTATGCTACATTTTAAGTTCGATTACTACTATTGAATTACCTAAAATATAAAAAAAGTTCTTACTAAAGCATAACAAAGAGACACTTGTGATTAAAGCATAACATAATGCCATTTGTTTTTGGTGTAGAGAAATTACAATCATACTTTAGCAAGTCTCCAGTACTTCAGCAAGTCTCCAGATAAAACACACGAAACATCTCTTATTTTTTGAAATCTATTAAGAACTCTGAATTTTTTAAAAGATTTTCAAAAAATTGTCTTTTCGTAGAATCGATATAAATCTGAATGTTATTTCTAACATAACTTTTCAAAAAAACTTCTTCCCAATTCCAAATAACGGTATCTCTTCATTTATTTAATATATGTAAAGTTGGTTAAGAGATAAGGACATTAAAAGTTGGAGTAAATACGAATCTCGATTTAACAAAAAAAATTTGCCAATATGTTCCCTAAAAAAAAGTACGATAAATGCCGTAAAAAATAATCTATCAAGTCAACCATATATCCGAAAATAATAGTTAGAGTTAGAGGAGGAGTAACTCAACAAAAAAATCTTTTTTCTCTAAACGCATAGCTTCATTATAAAACGCAACAAAGAGAGTCTGTGATAACTAAGGATTTTGGTAGCTAGGAGTTAAGAATAAACTTATTTGGGATTTGCTTAAGCATTTATGGTTTTCTTTATGCACACAGTAGTTTAGTTGATTTCATCTTTGTTTGTTATTTCATTGGTGCATACAATATAGCATTACAGATCGACCACAATTTCAATTTATTGAGTTTTTGTGTTTTAGTTAGCTGCAATCTTATACTGAGGGTCTTTTTTATTTTTTCTCTTCAAAGAATAATCCCATACCTTGGGTTACCGTTCTTGTTATTGTTAATGTAGTTCTTGTATTTAGTATTGTTATTATTGTATACTTCCAACAAATGTAAGTTTTGTGTTGTGACAACATAGTAAACATTGTTGTATTTATTGAAATCTTAGACAAAAAAATAGTCTGAGTATGACTCTAATGATACTAGCTAAGGAGATAAGATTATTGTCTAATGGTTCTAATTTATTTATATAATAACTACAACTCATAATCTTATGTTGTCTTATCTTTACATATCCGATTTTTCACTCATTTACGATCTATATTTTTTACCCGAATTTTGTCTCCAACTTTTTGAAACAAAACCGGTTTATTACCAATGTTTTGGTTTGCCAATATATTGTTATTCCCCAATTTGTTAATTATGGTTACATTTACCACTAACTGTTGGATTGTACTGCCATTTACAAATTTTATTTTTGTATTTCTTGTCAAAATAGTGGCAGCATATTAGTATCTTCTTGCCTTATGGAAGAAGTGGCATGCAGAACGGTTTGTCGAAGATGGGGAAATGGAATTCCCCAACGTACCAAAGAGCCATAAGTGAGAAATTAAGCAATAAATGAGAAATTAAACGATACATAGATTGGGTCAAGATCACAAATATGTGCTTAAGGATTTTAAAGGATAATCAGAAAGATCCATCTTAGGTACATTGTTTGTTCCACCAATAAAATTGGAAAAAAATTTATTTAGAGCTAAGGCTCTATGATCAAATTAGAGCCCACCTCAAAGATTTTACTAAAAAAGGTTGTTTTGATGTCCAAATATTCTCAAATTGTTAATCTCGACTTCAAGATGCATGGACCTGAAAAAAAAAATTGGATTTTTAAGTTTGGAAATAGTTCATCTTGTAACTCATTTTTGAACCGTCAACTTTTAAGATTTTTAAATTTTTATAAATCTACTCAATCTACACTATTTTTAAAGATTTAAATTTTATAATTAAATATTAAAAATATTGTACCGCATCATAAAAATTTTCAATATTAAAACCACATTTTTATATACTATTTGAAGGTGCATTACTTTGATTGTTTAGGGCCCATACAAACCACACCCTTGTATATATACATATTTTTTCAAACCAAAAACCTCATCGAAATTTGGCGTGTCTGTATCATCTGTCTTACGCCTCCAAAAGGTCAACTGCTTTTTGTAAAATTTTACCGCTTTTCTTATGCTTGCTTTTGTAAAATTTTTCTTATCTAGGCTCCAGTGCTGTCTCACTCTCCAAAGAGGCAAAAACAAACCCTAATTGAGTAACTGTTTTTTTTTGGTCATTTCACAGTCATGGAAACAGGAATAAATCTCATTTCCATTGCATTGATACTCCCATTCCCCTTTTACTATCTCCTGTGGACCTACCCACAATCATGGGTGGATCTATGTGGCAACAAAAGAGACCCATCTCACATAATGGCTCAAGTCTCTCACCTCATTAAGTTCCTTCAGTTTCTTGCTTTGCTATCAGTTGCCCACTTCTCTTGGCCTCCATGGTATTCTTGGGTTCTTTTCATCTCTGGCCAGTACCTCAATTTCAAGTAAGTTTATTCCTCTCTCTCTGTCTTTCTCTCTCTCTTTCTCTCTCTCTCTCTCTCTCTCTCTGTTGTTTGTTCACTTGGAATTTGAAACCTAGTGACTGTAAACTGTAAATGATGGAGTTGGTTCTTTTATTTTATTGGTGTCAGATCTACTAGATGTGAATCCTGATTTTTAGCTGCAAATTTGAATTGGGTTCCTTTTCCTCCATGGGTGTTCATTTCAATAACAGTAGTTCCTGATTTGGGTTATCTATCCTAGTTGATCTTTATTGATTTTGTTTAGTTTTGGCAAGAAGTGGGAGGATTATTTGATCTTATTTTATAAATTCACGGGTGTGATATTGAAATTTCATTGGAAATCCGTGAAATGCATGTTGGATTGTATAACATTTGAATGGTTATGCTGTTATATTGTCGCCTACGCAAAAGGAAACGCTGCAACAACGCTCCCCATGATCTTCTCTCTCATTGCTTTGCATCTCATTGTCTATACTTGTAAGTTCAACTTGATATGGATCACCCTCACTTGATTAATAGATGAATGGCTACTTTCAAAAGAAGCAAAAAGGGAACCGTGGGCCTTCTGATCACTGAAAATGTGGAATTCCGATCTCTTGTCATTGTCTAGGTAATACCTGCAATTTCTAAACACTGATTAATTGTTGAAGTTATCAGCCTTACTATGTCACTCAATAACTTTTGATTTAAAATCAAATACCATTTTATGTCAGCCCTATGCTATGTTTCATGATTTTCCAGACAATCGTTTGTATTATTTCCATCTTTGTTAACTGTATCTAAACTCTGTGTATTTTATATCTTTCTGTCAATACCTAAGATTTTGACAACTCCTTTATAGTCCTTTCATTTAGAAGTCAGGTATGCTTGACATAATGTTATTATGGATATTACTTATCTTCTACCTTTGGCTTGATTGTTTCTCCAGCCTCATGCCTGGGCTCCTACTATATAGCATCATTGACATAAATCTTAGGTTTTTTGCCATGAAAATTGAATTTTGTGGGTTGTTGGAAAATATACTTTGCTCTCTTACTCATGAAAAAGGTTTGGCACAGAAAATCAGTAGATGAGTGAGGCTTAGAGCAAACTGGTCTATGTAAGCTACAATGCCTTACTAATGGCTCAGGTCCTTGGATTTTAGTTATGCCATGTGCTAAAGTACGAGGAGAATTTAGATTTGAGGTCCAACCATAGTTAGCCAGTCTGATAATAGCAATATATTGGGAAACTAAAATACCTGTAATAAGTCAGTTTTGTCCCAAACAGTCTGATACAAAAAAAAGCTTAAAAATGTGGATCACCAAAAATTAGGTTAAGTTAAAGCCATGAGTATAACGGACTTGGCTAAAAGAAAATGGATTGAAATAACCAGACGTATAAAGATAGCATAAGATAAAGTTATGATTTTGCAGTGCAAGGATGCATTGAAGTCATTGATCAATAACTTTATGTCCTTGCCTAGTATCATTCAGAATAATATGTGACAAATTTTTCTCTAAATTTTCATTAAAAACAACAACAATGCTTACTCTGTCATGATACAAAATAAACGATGATGTTAATGGAAGCATACAATGAAACAACAACAGCAATACTAAACACAATAATTGCATTAACACATAACAAGAGCTGTAACCCAAGATATGGGATTATTGTTAGGATGAAAAAAAAAAAGGACCCTCAACTTAGGATTGTAGTTAACAAAAACCGAAAGTTATTCTAATATATATCCTAGGATTGTAGTTAACAAAACACAAAAACCCAAAGTTATTCTAACATATATCCTGTACCTTGGGTATTGAGTGTAGGATTGCAGCTCTTAGATGTTTATTCATTATTGTGCATCACTGTCTTTGGATATAGGAAATGGGAATGAATAATTGTTGACAAGTTAAAAAAAAAAAACGGGAATGAAGAACTCATTTTTATACTTTCATTAGACAAAGTTGTATATCTGGCTGATTCGAACTTGAGGAATTTACTGTTTATGGGTATATATGTTGACTGAGGAAGTCCATCTTTGACTCAGCCCAGCATAAAAGATTGGTGAGACTAGAGTTACTCTCATGTGGCATCTGCATTGAGGAATGCTTATGAGTGTTACTTATTCTACAGGCATTCTTCCTTAGGTTCTATCATCCTACTAGTGTATGTAGTTGATGTTATCACTGGATAAACAACTATAAAATGAAAAGAAGTTATCAACGGAGACAATGTTGAGGTCATTGAATCTTTTTAGTCTGCATATTGAAATGAAGTTATATAAGTGACGTTAAATGGCATTGAAATGATGTTAACTGATTGTAGGTTGTAACTCCGTTAAGTTTGTGATCCTTCTCCATCTATGTGACGTAGTGGTCAGTTCAGGTGATATATTTTGTGCAAGCAATACATTATGCTTGCTTCTTGGCTTGAGGGGCTTCTGTAGAGCCAAGGCATACATGACTATAGGTAAGATCGATGCCTATTCTATAATTCAATAACTTCTTGTCTGACATATTTGACCTTGTTAGGTGGATTTCATCATGTATGCACATGCACTCTCACGATCTGATACTCGTGCTTGAATTAAGATTTTTTATACAATTGAGTTTATTAAATAAGCAAAAACCATTGAAAAAGGGCTATCACCGTTTAAATCAGCGGGGCTGCATCTCCATTTGACATTGAGATTGCTAGGTCCCTCTGTGTTCCTGTTGGCTTATTTTTGTTTTCAATTTTCATAAAGCTGGAATAGCCATTAGCTATTTATAAAGAGGTTAAATATTCATGTGTATTTTATGACAAAATGTTACCAATCAACTTTATATCCCTTATGATGGAATTTTGAGTGGTCTGGTTAGCACATGAAGTCACTTCCTTTGTGAGTGGCATTAGTGTTGGGATTCGTGTTTTCTTCTTTCTTTCTTTGCCTTTCATCAGTTGTTGCATTTTGGGGTCATGAATAAAGCTTGCTCATAAGCTAACCGAGGAAGGTGCGCTTAGTGCGAGGCTTACATTGGAGAGCACCAATATGCAGTCTTGACAGGACCACCCTCTCTATTGTTGTAGTTTATCTTATTTCTCTCCCTTACCTGACAAATATCCTTTAGAATAAAACACGGTATCTGACACTAACCCTTTTGAATCATTTTATGCCCCTCTGAAATATAATAGAAGTTAACCATTTGGTGTAACCTTAAAATGGTTTAACCTTGAGATCACAGTTATGAATATCCAGAATACGAAAAGTGAAAACCCATTCCCACGAGATGCCAAGCCTTCAGATCCAGCTATTAAATATCTAAAATCTGCTGAGTCACACTGGACTTTAGTGAAGGTAGATGGATGATAAAACCCAAGAGGAACCCAAGAGATCTGCATGAATAGAGCAATGACCAATTCCTGTCTGAGTCCTTAAAATACCAAATTTTAGCTATACTAATTCAAATTCTACTTCAACCTTCTATCAATCTGCTGTTCTGGTGCAAGTTTTTTCTTCCAACATTCTAGTGGCTTTTTTCCCTTTCTCTGTTCTTTTTATTTTTTTTAGTCGGCCTTGGATTCTATGTTTGAATAGAAAATTTGAATTCAATGGCCAGAAAATTAGCCTTTAACTGCTTATTTACCTTCTGCAAGATTATATACTTCCTAACTTAAGATATTAAAAGTGTGCTATTAATTCCAGGGTTTATCAATTGCTTGGTGAATCCGGTACATATTATGGGGTACGCTTTGGAAAGAAGATAGCTTGGGTGACTGAGTTTCCTTTTGGATACATAAGGGATCCACAGTATGTTGGTAGCATACTGAGCCTTGTCGCTCTTTTATGTTGGATTCCCTCCCAATATGTGCTTCTATGGATACTTGGTTACTTCTTTATGATGTGCATAGAGTCAAAGGAGGAACCTTCTACTCGTGCTAAGCCACGTTCTTAGTTTTGCGTTCCAATTGTACCAGTTTTGCAGAAATAATAATTCGTTTGTTGGGGAAGAGATCAGTTTCATTTGTACCAGTATTGATCTTTATAATTATGATTAGCGGTGAATTATTTGAGCAGGGCTCATATGGATGACAAGATATGTTTTCTTCGACTTTTATTGTATGGATTGTGTACAATGAAACTATTGTCTTTCGTACACAGATCACAAGCACCGTCACATGCAACATCAGATGCCTGAACTATTATTGGTCTGCATAAAATTTGAGGAACTTTTTTTCGGAGTTCTAATGTTGGCGAATGCACACACCCCCAATTGCCCGATTTCACATGGGGCTGAGGATAATTGTGACATGGGATTTAATAGAAATAAAATCTAGCACCCCTAGTTTTTGGAAAGACTACATGGTGGTTTAAGTATTGATATTTCCTTTTTAAGCAATCATATACGACACATCCAAAGAAATTGTGAGAGAATGTAACACGTTAGAAATAGTGTGTAAAGTATAGTACGACTATAATGTATAGGAAAGTGTATAAATGGTTTGACAATGTAAATTTTATTTTTGTACTCTCTAACCCACGATTATATACAGGAATTGTATACAAGGAGATCATTGACCTTTGATACACAATGAGGTCACAATACCTTACGACCATTTCATGTGAATTTGATAGCTTGGATGTGTCTCAATGTTTGAGAAAATTTATTTTGAAGTTTGAACTTGATCAATGGAATAATTGCAGTCCAATTTCACATCCAATAGTCAAGATTAATGTGACCACTTTGTATCAAAAGTAAATGGTCTTATTCTATACTTTCCTTTATATGTATTATGGAAAAAGTTTATATAACGTTGCAACCTTACCTCTACAGCTACAGATGCACCTCAAAAATCCATCAGAAAAGATAGTTTTAATGTTGAAAAATATTTTGATTGATCATCTTGACATCGGGATGTATGACCATGAAAAATAAAAAGATTTTAAGTCTCAGAAATAGTAAATTTTACAACTTATTATCTGTACCGTACATTTTCAAGATTTTCATTTGTTTATAGATCTATGGGATTTTAACCATATTTGAAATTTAAAATTTTATAATTAGATATAAAAATAGATTTTGAGATAATCCTAAGAATATTTTACATCAAGGTTTACCTTACCTCTAGAGCTATGGATGCATCTGTATCTGTATGCTAACTGCACCCATGTATTATAATATATGCAGTAATGAAATAGCTACCATTAAAGTACTGCACCCATGTATTATATATGCAGTAATGAAATAGCTACCATTAGAGTGGGGCACGCTTACTTTTTTTTATAAGTTCCTCTCTCTTTCGCTCTCTATAGTTTTTTATAGCATTGAGCTACTGAAATGTATACCATTCGAACCTATGGCTTGAATGTGGGGAAGGTCCCTAAGAAACTAGGATTTAGGCCATGAAACTGATCTTTTATTAGGCTTGAATGACTAAGATGATCATGGGTTATAGGAAAACTAGGTTAGGGTTTAATAAGGGTTTTTCAAGAAGAAACTACAAGATTCCTTTTGTAAGAGTGAGTTTTTAATTTTTGAAATTCCTCTTCCACGAGCATACAAAGAGGGGCAATTGACCGTTTTGCTTCTCCGTGGGAAAAGGAATTAAAGTCTCTGTCACCTATTTCTTCTTCTTTTTTTTTTTTTGGTCCCCCCCTCTTTCTCTCTACCCATTCATAATATGGACATGATTTTTATGAGTCCAAGTAGAAATGAGTCACCTCTTAAAAATCTATTTTTGAGATGTATTTTTTAACTTAATTTTTAAGGACATAATCCCTAACATATAGATCATGAATATGGAAAAGATAAGTAAATTAAGAAATAATAATTTTATTAAGAAAACATTTGAACTGTTAGTTTCAATTATTTTTAGATGGACCACCTATTTGCATCTATGGATGCTTTATGCCTCAGAGACCACAAATGTAAATATGCAGTCCCCGCAGCATCAAACTTTTTTTTTACTTTATATACTATATATATATATATATATATATATACGCCATTTTCTAATTGTATTTGTTTTTAATCCGTTTCAAACCAATTACATCTTTTTCCGCTTAACGATTTTTGGGGCAAAATATAAACTAGTATTGACATTGACATATTGTCCCAACACAGTTATTAACTATGGATAATCTTATAATTATTTATTTCTTGCCATTTTTTGGGGAAGTTTTGAGTCCCTATTTCTTTTTTAGTTAGTGATTTCTGAATGTAAGTGAGAATACAAACCACAACGGACAACTAATGTATGGGGTATGCTACTACCTCGACTTCAACTCCATTTCCAACAGATTGATACCAAGAAGAATCAGAAGTACTAAGCTAATTAACTATTTTTGTCTTTTTCTTTGAAATGTCAACATAAAAGATGTTCCCTACTTCAAAGCGGCTAAACCCTTCATTGCTGTTGAATGAACTTAATACACAGTTCTGGCATATTCGTGGACTTAAAGAGATAGAGGTATTAGGACACCTTACTAAATTAGGGGAAAGGCATGGTTAACTTCTCTTTTTAAGATTTCAACACCTAGAGTCCCACATGAAAATTGTGAAAAAGAGTCAAAATGCATATCCCGAAGAGTAAAAAGCATCAATCTCTTCTCCATAATAATTGTGTAGCTTGGACAAAAATGTCTTACTTGGTTTACCCTTTGAAGATTTGAGACGTTTTCAATAAATTGAGGATAATGGAAACTTTAAGACCTAAAATTTCTAAATAGAGGTAATGTTGGAAAGAAACTTGAAGAATAAGTCTTCCATCATAGTCAGTCAACAATATTGAAGATTGGAATGAAAGTGAGAAGTTTATTGCTAAATAACAAAATAAATGACGGAAGAATTTTTTTTTTTTTTAAAAAAAAAAAAAAAGAAAAAAAAAAAGAAAGAAGAAGAAGAAGAAGAAGGCAGTAATGAGTTTATGGGATACATACTTTCTGGGTGCTCTATTCAAAAGAGCATACATCCCTAACCCAAGGACAAGTTATAGTAGAAACCAGTTCTAAGAGAAGCCCCGTCCCCAGGATAGGAGCATCCAAGTATAGAACTTTTAAAAGTTTTGGTACATGGAGTATATATATATAAAGTATCCATTTTTTTTAGATTATTCAATTAGAGTTTCAAAAGTCTTATTCATACCCCGTTTCACCACTGTTTGTGTTTTGTAACGAAAATACCCCATTAGGTCCATGGAGGCATCACGGTTAAACCATTACTGTGATGGTTATAACACGTTCTAAGTGACTTTGTATTGGATTTAATGTGAGAACCATGTTTGAAGCATTATGATATTTAAAGTACCATGATGGGTTGTTTAACTATTATGGTTTTAATTGAACTGTGATAGTATCACGGTGGTGCAAGATCCGTGATAGTCAAGGTGATCATCATGGTTATTTAAGCACCATGATGGTTCTAATGCTACCCCATCATCATTCGTCATGGTCCTAATAAAATCTTGATGACTTAAGCCCCCACGCCAATAACGTTTGAACCCTCCATGACCATCATGGTTCTGGGCTAACTATGATGCCTTCACGGACCTAACACTTTTTATGAAATGGTATTTTAAGTTAAAAAAAAAAAGAAAAAAAAAAAGCAAAAAATGGTGAAAGGAGGTATGGATGAGGTTTTAAAAAACATGGTTTTGGTGAGTAAGACGATTTACCTATTACCATTCAGTCCCTTGTCTATCTAATTTCTATATCTAAGATGGATGTAACAAATGGATTATGAAAATAACATTTATATATTTTGAAACAGAAAAATTCTAAGTTTATATCATTGTCATGGTTGATATTATTTAAAAAAAGACCTATGTAATCTTTTGCCGGGGAAATACAATTAATTTTTTTTTAATAATAATCGCCCCTTATAATTTTAGCAACAAGATCACTCACAGATGGTCTTATTACAAAGAATAAAAATTTCAAAAATAAATAACACATCAATAAAATAAATCTCAACTACTTGATGTCATTCATACAAATAATATTGTACTTGACAATATAAAATAAAAGAACAAACAAATAAAAAAAAAGATGCCGGAGATTACCTCAACCGGGCTTTTTACACCCCACACCGAGTCACCACATCTGATAGCGCGGGATCAGTGGTCTAGCTTCACTCTCGAACCGGGAAAGTAAATTTTGGTCAAACTAGGTAACCATCATTAAATCTCTACAAAACCTTAACTCCAAAATAATTAGGCTCAAACCTTAATTTTCTCAACCCTTAGATTAGATCATGAGAGAGAGAGTCTCTATCTTGGGGCGTACCCTTTAGGGTCTTTTTAGGAGAGAGAGAGTAGAGAGAGAAAATCAGAGAGTGGAGAGAGAGGGGCATGACCCCTAGGAAAGAGAGAGAGTTTCTGGGGGAGAGAGAGGTTATGGGAGAGAGAGAAGTATGTAGAGATGGGGGAAGAGCACCCCTATTCATAGTGAAATTTAGGTCTAGGGTTTCTTTAGGGTTTTCCATAATTTGCCTCTTTCTTGAGATTGAATATAGACCGTTGATCAAGGTGACTTGTGGGGTGAGAGATCTGAGCCATCCATTCCATAGAATCATGGAAAGTGCATGAATCATTATCCCCATTTCCTTAAACCATTTTTCCCATTAATATATTTAAATAAGTTAAATCTATTAAAATATTATGCATTCCCTAACATTGCATAATCCATCTCATATGTTCCATAAGAATATTTCAATAATGTCAAGTCAAGATATTCTTTTAATAATCAAGATAAAATATGGTCAATATTTCTCGAACAATATTTGACCATATGCTTATAAGATGGACTTTCCAAAAATTACAAAACTTGATATCAATGTAATGGCAAAGGGAGCAGTGGGATATGTGGGCCCCCACCCATTTGCCACATGGTGGGCCCATGTGCACTATGGGCCCCATGAAAATTTTATAAATATTTTAAAATTTTATTTAAATTTTATTTAAATATTATTTAATTTTTATTTAAATTTTATATAATTTGTAAAATCAATAACTTCCTATTTATAATTCCAAAAATTATAAATAAAATATTGAAAGATTCATAAAAATTTAAATAATAAATTTAAAATAATTTTCATAATAAAATGAACACAATTAAATTAATATGATGGGAAGTGGATCCATATGGTTCAGGAATTCTATCAACGATCACGGGGTACTCCACCTTTAATTGTGGACTACAGACCACACTTGCTTTATCGAACCGATCCAGTGTTTTCCATGACCCACAGTCCAAGTAGGAGCTCATTAGCGAGTCACTAAAGTCTGGTCGATGAGCCAAGGAGTCGCAATCCCAGTCTGTGGATTACAGATCCTCCTCTAGAGACAAGTCAAGGTCACCATGACCTGATGCGACCACAGCTCTATGACGCATAATGGTATCTCTCGCACATGCATATGCTTCACCCAAAGGTGGATATCAACGATCTATCTATATGCATGCCGTGTGATGGAACATGGATAAGGTTTTGGCCCCCATCTCTGTAGGCCTAACATCACACACAAGGGTCACACAGTCCCTCGACTCACTCATCTAGGCATACGCTCCAACCTCATTAAGGCTAACCCAAAAACCCTTCTCGGTATATTTTTTATGCCCAAGTATCTTGGGTTTTCTAACCGACTGGCCTAGATCGTCAAGCACAGTCCGGTATCAGCAACATCATTTGCTTAGTATGGTCATCGAGGGACTACACTCCCACTGAGTTTATGTTCTACAATAATAAATGTTTTCATTACATACTCATAAGGCCTTTAAAGGCCACATAAACACCAACAATTATTGAATTCTAAAATTTTGGATCGAAAATATATTTTAGAAATGTATTTTGTAGGGAGACCACACAAGAAGACTGTGAGTCAGCCGACTCACCAAACACTGTTCCTTTTAAAATTTTGAAGTTTATTTGTAATAACGTAATAAAAAAGGGCATTTTTTATAAGGGTGTGGTTTCTACAAGGATTTTTTTTGGCAATTCAATGGAGATGACGAGTCCCTGCCCATTTTTTAAATCGTTAGTAGTTTTTTAATGCATTGGGTGAGAATGAAAGCCTAGACCTTAGTTGGGGTACAAATGATACTACTGCCAAGGCAAAAGTGGTAAGTCAGTGTGGATTTGGGCCCTTGCTCTTTGATGATAATGGAGTCAAAGCCCCTAGGTCATTCTCAAATGTGGTAAGTCAATGGGGATTTGGGCCCTTACCTTTTGGTGAGAATGTAGTCAATGACCTCAACATAAGGCTCGACAATACTACCATTAAGGCCCTATGGGATGCTCCAAATGGAGTAAGTCAGTGGGGATTTAGGCCCCAACCATTTCGTGAGAATGGAGTCAGAGACCTCAACATAGGGCTCGGTAATACTACCGCCAAGGCCCCAATCCTTTCGTGAGAATGGAGTTAGAGACCTGAACATGGGGCTCGGTAATACTACCGCCAAAGCAAAAGTGGTACCTTTTGGTGAAAATGGAAATGACTTCAACATGGGGCTCGACAATACTATCACCAAGGCCCCATGCCATTCTTGAAATGTGATAAGTGTAATAGCGACAATACTATTGCTAAGGCCCGATGCCATTCTCCAAATGTGGTAAAGTCCCTGAGGATTTGGGCTCTTATCTTTTGGTGAGAATGGAGTCAAAGACCTCAACATGGGGCTTGGCAATACTACCGCCAAGGCCCATCTCATTCTCATGGTTTCTATAAAGTTGCAATTGCAACCTTAAATAATGCAATTAAGGTGCATCCCCCTAAATTTAATTATAACAAGTAATTTTGGTATAAAATTTTTTTAGGATTATCTGAAAATCTACTTTCATATCTAATTATAAAATTTTAAATTCTAAAAATAGTTAAAATCAAGTAAATGTATAAGCATATGAAAATCTTGAAAATGAACTCTTTTTATAATGTATCGCAAGTGCATTATTTCGAAGGCTCGAAATATTTTTCTTTTTCATATTTGTACATCTCGACCGCGATGATCAATTAGAAGATTTTTTACCATTAAAATAATATTTTTCGATGGATTTTTCAGAAGCAACCTTAATTCTACATTTTAAGGTTGAGGGAACCTTTTATATTTCCCTTTTGGTAATTTCCCTAAAAAATAAAAACAAATCCCTCGATTCCCCGGGTGCCCTATTGGCAAAATCAATACCCTAGGGTTCTTGTATAATTTGACTCACTCCTGAAAATGGAAGCCCTCTGCTTTCTCATTTGGCGTAAACTCTAGCTCTCCATAAATCTGCCACTGCGGCTCTTCTTCGGTTATCCATTCAAACCAGGTAAAACATTTGTCTTAACTCAATTCCCATTTCTCGTTTACACTGGATCTCCTTTTCGAAATTAGGGTTTAGAGCTTTCTCATCAGTTCTTGATTTAAATTAGCAAAGGTGGGTGTTTTGCTCTGTGTCTGGGACTTTTACAAGTTGCAATGCAAAATATTATTTTTCCTCCATTTGCATTGTTATTTGAAGTATCAATCTAATTCTAATGTGAGATTCAATTGGAAGTCATCGTAAAGGCAAATTTCATAACATTGTGCCCAATGAAATTTGGCCCCGGCTCCGCTCGTGCTTGCCCGTTCTCTACACGATATCTTGGTGCAGTTTGGTAAATGTGACAAAAATATATATCTAATTTGGTTTAATTTACATGTTTGCATGTCAGGTTTCTTGTGGCGGTTAAAGGGTATACCTTGACTTGGATATCCAATGAGGCTAGAGAAGTGTTGGTTCTGTTCCAGTACGATTTATCCCGGTCATGGGATTCAGTTTGTTCGCAATGACTGCACGGTATGTTCTTGTTTTGTTGAATTGCTTGCATTCTTTATTTGTTTTTTGTATTTATTTTTTGATAAAAGTACAGTATGGTTTATGAATCAGTCAACTTTGTGAAGTATTCTGTTTGTCGTTTGCAATGAGATGAGTAAATATGAAAGGTTACGTTTGATGCTATCCATCGGATGACTAAGATTTTAAATCAGTTCAGCCAGTTTATAATGACCTATTTCCTTTCTATCTTAATTTTTCTAAATAGATGATCTTTTGTTGCTGATAACCATTAATATTGACTGTAGTATATTAGCTGTCATATTTCTTTGCGTGTTCTATGGATTAGTTTTTTGTTATTAGCTGATTTTCTTGTTCTGCCTAATACAGTTGAGACAAAATGCTGTAGCACAATATCATTCTGATCATATCATATCAAAGTTGTCTATCCTCAATTGTACTGTTATATTTGGAATCTTGTTGCTCATAAATATATATAGATTGGGTAATATCAGAAAGTTCCATCGGATGGTTGGACTCTGAGCAGTCGTGTTCTTTGTGAAAGGGTTGTTTCTGGGTTCAGTGTTTATCTCTGTGGCAATCAGATTAGTAGGATTCACTTCCTTTGATATCTACTCCTTTATTCTTTTTTCTCTTAAGTGTGGACAGAGATGTGATAGAATTATTAGGGATGTTAGTGTGTAGTTGGTTGTGTGGTGGTTGAGTGCATTAATTGCAAAGTATGTTGTTTTAGCATGTAAATGGAATTACTGGACATTGGACCTACATTTTCACTGCACTATCCCCTAACTGATAACCACTAATATTCTGAAATTGCAGTACAGACAAATTCAAGAAGACGCATGATATTACCATTTCAAAAATGCAGATGCTTGATATTTTGAAACCAAATTACAGAAAGGGATTCTTCCTACTAGACTTACAAACCTATCCTGCTAAAGGTATTTTTGCAGAAACCAATAAAAAAGAACCAATTGATATCAAATCATGTGCTACCCACGCTCTAAAGATTGAGCTGACAAGGTTTGTAATTTAACTCAACCTCATTACATGTGTGTACTATAAAGGAATCCTCTGAATAAAGATGGAATGAGGTGTACTGCTTGCGAGGGGTGTAAGGCTGTCTGTCACACGATGGTGCTCTACTTGGAGAACATTGAGTATGCAATTTGCTAGTTCTTTAACTGAAGAAAGTTCACTCTATGGTTCTTTATCTTCTTTCCCAATCATTTCTTTACTAAGGAACAAAGTTCCATAAATGCCACTTTGCTTTTGTTCAGTTTTTACCTGGATTGAAAAGAGCCTTTCTGTGACCTATGGGGAGCCCCGAAAGGTACTATCCACCCAATCACGAGATCTTGATGATCAAATATGTTAGAAGTGATTTTCATATTGGATCCAAGGAGGTTTGCAATGCCAGCTCTTGTAGAGGATATCTAAGAGATTCCCAGATCGCTGGAGATTCCTTGCAGCTTATGCAGAGTTGCTTTGGCCATGTATCTGGATATAGATGCATGTTTGAATGTGTAGGATGAGTCTTCATTAATTGGGATAAAGTTAATAGTAAAAAATTAGGGTTCGCTATCCTAATTCCAAAATTAAAAGCTGAACTGCTTCATTTACAAGATTATCTCTTATGGTATTAACGGTTGGATTAGTTTATTTTGTTGAGGGATTTGAAATTTTGAATGTTGCAGTTGTGATACATGAGGTGGGGGAAAAGACTTCATTGTATGCAAAATAAAAGCAAACTAGAATGAATATCTGAGAACATGAACTTATTTGTGGAGCCATATTTATGCTGAACTATTGCTACTATTTTATTTGTACATTTGCCTTTTTCATGACGTAACATTCGGCATAAATTATTTGTGAGGCTTCAATTGTGGTGCTAATTTCATAGCAATTCTCTTTAATATTGCACAGGTTTTCAAGTTTTGCAGATCCAAATGCCACAAGAACTTCAAGATGAAAAGGAATCCTCGTAAAGTGAGATGGACGAAGAAATATAGAGAACTGCATAACAAGGATCTTGCAAGGGTATTTGCTATTTCTGTTGGACAGTTCTTTCCACTATCCTTGTGTACAAGTTACTAATTTGTTTACATTTTAATTTTACTCTCAGGATACTGTCTTTGAATTTGAAAGAAAGCGGCAGAGACCAGAGAGATATGACAGAAATCTTGTGGAGAACACTCTGAAAGCTATGAAGAAGATTGATGATATTAGAGTAAGCAGGAGAGAGAGATTCTGGCTAAACAGGTATTTCTCCTTGTTCTCAAAATTCTCCAGATCAATCAATACTTCTTAATATGAATTTGTTAAAAAAAAATTACACTCTTTAAGAAAAATGACCAATCATCATCATCATCATCAGAGCCTTATCCCAACTATTTGGGGTCGGCTACACAAATCCTATAAGAATGACCAATTATATATGGATCAAATTATTTGTACCTTCCCTTTTAATGAGAATTCCCCTTAATTTCTTTGAATATCTTAGTACCTTTCGGACTTCTCTAATTCACAAAGCAGTTCGCAAAGCAGGTTCTAACAGTCCACATCACCATGAGTTCAGAAATATGATCTTAATCTCCAATACGTTTTACTTTGTCATATTATCAGTATTGGTCATTCTTGGTGAGCAAATCAAAATTGGATCTAATGTGATGTTACAATTTCTAGTGCTGGGGTGGATTCAATCTTGCTTTTCGCTCATTTTAATTGCCATCCGCCAGGCATATTTGTGGTTGCAGAACATCCCTGTTTCTTATATTGATTCTTTTTCGTTTTTAGGGGTAAGTAGCCATCATTAGATCCTCTTAAGTAAAATATAGATGTGCAAGTTGAATTTCTTACTGGTCTAAAGTTCCCTTTAGTTAAAAATGGAGAGTTAAAACTCTCCCAAGTAAGTGACTTCTTTCTGGTACTGTATGGTTTATTTGGAGTTCAAGGAGAGGTCATTGAGGAGCATCAGCTAGTTAATGATTAAAAAATAAATAAATAAAATGATTATTTGCAGGGTGATGGGGTAGTACGGACAATTGGATATTTTACAAAATTTGAGTTTTTTTTTTTAAGTATTATTTTGAGAAAATTACGTAAATGTCCGTTATGCTTTGCGGTATTATGGATTTACCAAATAGTTTGTCCATTTTTTACCTTTTATAATGCAATTTTTTAAAAAATATGACTTTACCCTTTTTCGGATGTTGAACAACCGAATTGGAGGGTTTTTCGGATGTTCAACATCCGAAAATAGGTCGAAAGTTTAACGTTCATATTCCCATTTTTCGATGTTGAACATCTGAATTGAAGGGTTATGTCGATACATTGTATTCCTTGTGAAAGTGGTTTCGGATGTTGGACGTCCGAAAATATGTCAGTTTTGGATGTTGAACATCCGAAAATATGACATTTTCGGATGTCCAACATCCAAAAATGTCATATTTTCGGATGATCATCATTTGAAAATGACTGTGAAATTCCGGAAACTTTCAGGAAATTCAAAGTCATATTTTCGGATGTTGAACATCCGAAAATATGACATTTTCGGATGTTGAACATCCGAAAATATGACATTTTCGGATATCCAACATCCAAAACAATTTTCGGATGTTGAACATCCGAAAAACCCTTCAATTCGGATGTTCAAAACCCGAAAATGGGAATGTAAACGTTAAACTTTCGGCCTATTTTCAGATGTTGAACATCCGAAAAACCATCCAATTTGGTTATTCAACTTCCGAAAAAAGGTAAAGTCGTCTTTTTAAAAAAATTACGTTAGAAAAGGTAAAAAACAGACATACATGTAATAATAGAAACTATTTGGTATATTCGTAATTTATTTTTATTGGAGCAGAACTTCCTTTCCAGGAGGTAGCAATAGAGCGGACTGTTGCTAAATGATGCAGTGTGATATTATTTTAGGCTGTTATTGTTGGCTTTGATGGTTTGTTATTCGATGCTTCTAATACTATTTTTATAAATGCGATGTCCAAATGAATCACATGCTCACGGGCTTGGATATGCGTCCATTTTGAGTAGCATATGTGATGTATACGTTTTCTTTTGTTTCTTTGGTAATTAAATTGGAATAGAGATCAAACCATTTTATCCAATATGAGAAAAAGACATTACTTTTGGGACTTACAATTTTTTCCGTGGGAAACTTTATTTGCAGAATGAAAGTAAAGAAAATAAAGGAGAGAAAGGAAGACCTAAAGGAGCTGGAGCAGGGAATAGACTTGGTGAAGGCCCCTCTTGCGTTCCAAGAGGATTCTACCTTAACTATTCCAAACGCCAAGAAGATGAAAGTGGTGATCACCAAACCAGACGAAGAGAGCCATCAAATGGAAGAGTGAGAAGATATTCTTCCCTTTCAGAAATGACACATGTTCTCTCGTTATACTTTGCTTGTTTTTTTTTTTTAGTTTTGGTGGGTTCTTGAAACTATCTGGCAGTGCAAGAATTTAAATGTATGAGTGAAAGTTATATTAATTTCTTTTCTTATTTCCTTTTTTATGGTTATTGGATTTTTATTTTTTTGGTTAATCCATCCGATTTGAATTGGAGACTTGGTTTATAGTCTGAGCTGAGGTTATTGTATGAATCCTTTCTGCCCCTGTTATTCATTCCACTGCATTTTTTAGTTTCTGCTCACACTCTTCGAATACATTAGACTGTTGCATGTCAGACTGTTTCGGTCTCTCTCTCTCTGGCTTAGGCTTGGTCATATGACATCTGATTGGAAGAGGGAGGTCAGGGATTCAACCCGGAAGGTCGTCACAAGAACAAACTACAGTGGTCTATTTTAGCTGTACAATTAAACCTCATTTGAATGTCTATGTTGCTATGGTCTTATCTCACTCTGGCGCTGTAGGCAACCATTAAAACTTGGCGGCCATCATTGGATATATGCATCGTTTACAATATTAGCTCTATGCAAGCCCTTCCCTATGGCGGCATTTTTCCAATAAGCGGGGTCTTACTCCACTAAGTTGTGCTGAATGGTGGCAGGCTACATTTTCCATCACACGAGTTTTATCCCTAAATTTGGACATCAAAGCGGGTTCTAGGTTACCCTTGGGCTGGTTAATGAGTTATAGTAACTTGGTATGTCGCCATTCAACAGGGAGCTAACTTGTTGAAGTCCAGCTTCTTGTCTAGATGCTGCAGCAATTTTCTATCGCAAGAAGAAAATCCTTTCTTTTTTCTTTTTAACATGATTATGACTGCTTAGGAATTCCTTTTTCAGAATTGCACGGCGTACTGAATGATATACTTGAAGTTCGAAACAGAGCTTAGTTTCTGATAAAAGCATGAGATCCTTCGCGTCATGGCAATACAAATTTAAAAGTGCTTTCCTCAGGAACGATTCAGGTCATGACACTTTACAGTTCCCATGAATTCGGGTTTGTAAACTCAGAGACTAGCAACCATCTTTCTCCTTTTGCTATGATTCTTTGCTATTGGCCTATTGCTAAGCATTCCTGCCCTTGGACATGTCCTTATTGGCATAAGAATATTTGCTGTTATGTTTTCATGTTCATGTTTGCTGCAATTTGAGGCTTTCTTTATATATCCCAAGAGTTGGGTCCATTAGAGAACAGAGGCCCTTTATGAGTTTATCAGGCAGTGGTTTCCCCTCCCTTTGGTGATGTAGAGACTTCAAATTGTAGGATTCTGTTGGCAGCTTTATTTTGGCATATACAGAAGGAGAAGAGCAACATAACTTTTGAGAGCAAGGTGTCCACAATGCAAGCAATTAAGGAACGCATTTTGTTGACTGTGATTGAGTGTGCTAAACCAGTTAATTGGTGCTCAGGTATATTGTTGTCAGACATTTCTGGGAACCTAGATGAAATTCTCATGCTTAAAAGGAAAAAAAGCGATGAGAGTTGTGGCTTGGTCAGCTCCAGATAATGCGATTAAGTTGAATTTTCACGATTGTTCGTTGGGCAACCCCGGGCCATCGGGGATTGGGGTCATCATTACAGATCACGATGGTGCAATGCTCCATCTTTCTCAGGCCCTTGTGGAGTTGCAACTGTTAATGATGCTGAGGTAAAGGGCCCTCCTACGAGGGATTAAACTACTACCTAACAGAAGGAGATTCTCTAAACACAATTAGATGGTGCTCCAATCCAAACAGTACCCCTTGGAAATTATGCCCTTTTTTGTGGGAAATCAAATATCTTTCCACAAGATTGGATGTTGAATTCAGCCATTTTTTTGGGGAAGCAAATGAAGAGGCCTACAGGCTTGCAAAAATGGAATATCTAACTTAGAGCTGTCAGCAGTTAGTGTGAGAGGAGGTAGGGGACAGCTTGCTTTCTTTGTTAGCCTTTTGTATACATAACCCTTCTTGTAGTTTTTCTTGCGCCATTTTGTTGGGTTCATGCAATCTTTTAAAGGGTGAGGTTTATATAAGGTGCCAACCGTATACTATTGAAGTAAGTTGCACCTCAAAGTTAAGCTGAAAATGCAGTTTCAGTGCCACAAGCCTTGCGATGCTATGAAAATCTATTGTTGCCCCTAACTATGAAATTTAAAGTTTCAGAAATGGTGACGGTCAAGCAGATTTGGGAAATCTTGAAAATGGACCGTCTAGATAATGTTTTAAAAGATGAACTATGTTTAGGATTAGAAATCCTTTTTTTTCATATCTATGAGTCTCGATGTTGAGATGACCGATTTGAGGGTTTTTCAGCATAAGAACAACCTTCGCTAATAGGTTTTTTAGGTGCACTTAATCGTACAGCATAAGATTGACACCTTATATAAACTTTTTTCTTTTTTTCCTTTTTTATATTATAATACATTAAATAGAAACATATAAGTTAACATTAAAAAAGAAATAAAAAAAAAAGAGGCCCTTTTGAATGTAACAGCAAATTTTTTAACCTTAAACAGAGGAGCACAGAGCACCTAACCCATTTCTTTTTGGCCTGCACATACACAGAATTCGACATATGCTAGGTTTGCCTATTTTTGGAAGAACTTCAATTATCACAAAAGGGGCATAAATTGTACGCCATCACAATGTTTTGTGGTGTCGGATTGGTTTTTCTAGCAGGGTTTTGAGGTGAGGCCTAACACATTGCCACATTTAGAATTTTTTCCAAAACTAAGGGTTCATTTGGTTCATGTGAAACTGTTTCCAAGAAAAATATTACATATGCAAATAGTCTACAAAGAATGAATCTCTCGTGCTTGTTTTTCCTCATATTTGGTAAACACAGTCAGAAACCCTGTGTAATCGATTTTGTATGTTTGGTAAGATGAATGGTATTCGGGAAACTTGTTTTTCCTCATGTTTGGTAAACAGAGTCAGAAACCCTGAAACCCTGTGCAATCAATTTTGTATGTCTGGTAACTTATTTAAATGAATGGTATTCCGGAAACTGCTATTATGTGATATAATTGAAATTGAAGAATCTGATAACGTGGGCCAAATTGTTTAGGAAAATTGTTTCATGAGGCGGGGACCTTATTTCTACCTTTGCGGTCCTCGAGGTATAAAGCATCCATCTTAAAAGATGGATGCAAATAAAAGATTGATGCAAATAGGTGGCTAAAAACAATTGAAATTGACATTCTAAATGTTTTTTTAATATAATTATTATTTTAAATTTTGAAAATTTATTTATTTATTCATATTCATGATCTCAATGTTAACGATTACATGTCCCTAAAAATTAAATACAAAAATCCGTCTAAAAAAAAGATTTTTAAGAGGTGACTCATTTCTACATGGACTTGTAGAAACTATGTCCAATTGTTTATCCATATCTCACAAACCAAGATAATAGGTTAATCCTATAATGAATTGATTGAAACATGCATTAGTTCAATTGCGATTCATGTTTGTCAGTGCTTTTGCTATTTGCTCTTGAACGATGTGCCTCTGGGAGATCAAAATATAAGAAACAAACAGAAAAAAACACAACATGAAAAGCCCATAACCACGTTTTTCATGGCGCAAATGATGATTCTATACCCAACAAAAACTAAAAGAGAAAACAAGCAAAAATTAAAATAAAAAACCAAGGAAAAATACAACCAAACAATCCATACCATGTTTTCTATTACATGGGAAAATAAAAAAATCAGCACAAAGTAAAAAGACAAAGAAAAGGAAAATATAACCAAAAAAACCAAAGCTCATGCCTTGAAATCCTATTTCTTTTTCACAACCATAGTGAACAAGACTGATATGATCGATTTTGAAAGTTTTTTTACTCCAAAAATGCAATTTTCAGTGAGTTTTACAGTGCGGCTTTACTTATTTTGATAGAACTGCAGCTCCATCAAAACATTTTCCTTAAAATTATTGATTAGAGGAAAAAGATTTGGGGTCATTTGGTATTATTTGAAGATGACCTTGTCTAAAAATCTTTTTCTGTAAACTCGCTGTAGGTCCATTCCCCTAAGATTGGCACTGTCGGATTTGGTGTTTTAAGAGCTCACATATTTTTCTTTTGATATTGATTAGCGAAGATGATATGAAGAATTTCACTGTCATGAACTCATGATATTACCCTTAACAAGGAGTCTTACGACCAATTCTTTTGTTTTTTGGGTAAGTGGTAAGTCCGTGGGAATTTGGGCCCCTATCCTTTGGTGAAAATGGAGTCAAAAGCTTCACCATGAAGCTTGATAATACTACTGCCAAAGACCTCAAGCCATTCTTACTTACGACCAAATTCCAGATTACTAAATAAATGTTAAATTCTACGAGTTACATGTAATGCACTTTGGAGCAGTGGCCTTCGATGGAAAGATTATAGGGGTGGTGGTTGGGACCCATGGTCCCGCGACCCAACGGGTAGACCTGACCGAGGTCCGGGTATGGGTCCAAGGGTTGGACTTGTCGGGTTCAATAGCCTGGACCAGATTCAGGTCCGGGCCTGCATCCAGGTAGTCCCTCCGGGTCAGGATCAAGGTCTAGGCAGTCCCTCTCTTTGTTTTTAGAGTTAAATATACTTTTTTTTTTTGAGTTTAATATACATTTTCTTTTTCTATTTTAACGTGAAAATTGATTTTTAAGTAGGGTCCGGGTCCCTCCATAATCAATTCGGGTTCAGGGAATTTGGACCCAGTTAGCTCCGGGTCTAAGTCTGGCCCGCCTGGACCCCAGAGCCGAGCCGAGCCGACCTGACCCTACCCAACCCGTTGCCACCCCTAATAGATAATATAGAATGGGTAGTTGCAATGATTACCATTCTATAAAGCTTTCTAATGTTCTCCTTCCTATAAAGCTGTTTATGAGAAACGTTGGCACACTGTGATTTTTAACCCATTTGTCTCGTCCATCTTTCATAGTTGTCTACACATCTGGGGGTTCAGAAAGCGGTTTCTAACCAGATTTAAGGCAAAACTAAATATTTGTGCGATATGAGAAGCTCTTTAAAGCTCCTAAAAATAAAAGAACGCAATTTATAAGGATCGACTGTCACATAGAAAAGAAACTCAAAGAATATTCTTATATGTTGGCTTTGCTCGAGGGGGCAAATGTACATTTTGCTCTTACCAAAGCATAAAATAGTTAGTTCCTTTTTTTGCTCACTTCCTATTTCAACATAATAGATATTTTTTAAAATCAAGATTTGGTTAAGATAAAAAAGAGAATGGTTTTAAATGAGAGATGTAATGGCAAACTCATTAGATAAGCATGCAAATACATTTTCTAGAAGATTTTAGCTTCGAGAGTTAGAGAAATGAGAGAGGAAAAAGTTTTCAGAAAATTTGGAGGGAAAATTAAAAGTGGTAGAGAAATTTAGAAGTCAAAGAAATTATTATTTTTCCTCATATATATACATTTAGGGGGTATTTTGATTAATAGTTCTTGTGAATTATGCATATATTTTTAGGAGCTTCTAACATAGAACAGTGTGCGCACAAATTTTTTAGTGAATTGAATTTGTGAAAAAGTAAAATAAAATCCAAACACTAGCATGCATTCATGATCATCAGATCATTGTAGATTTAAAATTGGCTTTCGGGCTTACACTATTCCGCATACAAGCTTATTGACAAAATCTCAAGTGTAGTACCGCAATTGTTTGTAACCATTGCAACTGTTTGGATAGACCACTAAACAGGTTTCATACTTTTATTCTCCTCTGCTTGTGCTGGTGTAGTACCGCAATTGTTTGTAACCATTGCTTTTTGGAACCACTTGCATTCATACACAGCTGAAAAGTGACTATTCAATAATGGACAGAAGAAAAAAGACTATCTTTCCCTTGGTCTATAACAGTAGAGAGAAGAATATCATAGGGGGTGCACAACCAAATTGCCCTAAATGCTTGTTACTCAAATCACTATCTCTACTATTGGTTACTTTATTTCTATCGCAGGTTCTCATGTGAACTGTCCATTTGCCAACACTGTTCACATGAACAGTTCCATTGCCAAAGCAATCGCTTTGTATTGACTGTTAGTTTTTTAGTCAAGTTCTTGTTTACTGTTTGTAAACTGGGATGGATCACGATATGCCTTTCCTTTACATTTTCAGTAATTAATGGCAGATTATTGCAAGGAACCAATATCATTTTCGTGGGACGGAATCTGATTCACAGGGCATGTAGTTCTACATTCAACTGATAATTCTTGTTAAAGCTGTCTGGTCCCTTATGAAACCCTGTTTACTTTAATGTGAATTAGGCATTGGATCCACATATTTCTACTTTTATATAGATCGTTTTCATTTGGGATATTGCAGAAACTTGAAATGGTCTTTTATGAGGTAAAAATTAAATATGATATCACACATTCAAAACGGGATTTCGGAATGTGAGAAATCAATGAGACCTAGGGCATATTTTGGTAATTTTCCAGAAAGTGAAAGCCTTATGAGCATGTACTCAATTATCAGAAAACCATGATAGATGGCTTGGCTTGCATGGAGTTCTATATAATATTTCACTTGGTTTTCAACTTTATATTGGACTTCTTGCTTCTATATCAACATGAGATAAGTAGGACGACGATTTCTTCTTCAAAATAATAATTGTTGGGTTTCATTGTCGCTTGATTCAACAGTTCTTCTCTTGCCACTTGCCAGTCCTGTTCTGGTTCAAGTATAGGGGTTGATCTACAGTTCCTTGATGGCCCATGTTGAGAGAGAAAGAGAGCAAGACGAATAACATAAAAGAATGATAGTTAAAACAGTTAATAAGATTTAAATATATCCACTAATACTTGAATTTAAGGCCTGGAGTCGACAGTTTTGGCCCAATTACACATCCAGCAAGTATCATCCATAATGGAGTACGTCCATTTTGACTTTGCCATACAAATCAATGTATGCGAATTGCATGGGCAAGTTCGGGCTGGTTCCAACTTGTATGCACTTTCTTTTAGTCCAGACTAGAAATCGTCAAAAGGGTCCACAATTGGCTACTTCATTGTCAAAAAGGAAATAGATAGAACTAGCCCAACCAGCTGGTTTGAACTGAGTGACCTCATGCATTTCTCCTTATAGAGAGCATACAGAAAGAAAACATGCAACTTTTAATGGATAAAAAAGCTTCTTAATTCTGCCCTAACACTTTACAGTTAAAAAAACCAGGTAATTGACATGCCTTATAGATAGATATATTGATCATCAAGAACCTCCTTGTTATCTCTCTAGACCAAAGCCATGGACCCCTCCAAAGCTTGCGCTGCATCTTTCACAGCTCCAAGGTCAATATCTGAAAGCTTCCCGGTTTTTGATGAGACAAGTACACACTTCTTCTCCTTAGCATCTGGAACAAAGAGTCTCCCTTTCTCCTCCGAAGAGAATAATGCAACACTGCAAAAAAGCAGATACGTGAAACATGTGACAATGAGTTTTTTTTTAGAATGCCATAAACAATCTAAAGAAAATCGCATCAATTTACTGTAACAAATACTTTCATATGTTGCATATACAGGAAAGGCATTTACCCAAAATATATAGGAAAGGTGAGAAGAGAGAGAGGCATTTACCCAAAATGTACATGAAAGGAGAGAGAGAGAGATCATAACTAAATAAGAATTTTGATGTGAAAGACTCAGGGAGAGAAAAGAGAGAGGGCATTACAACTAGATTAAGAGTTTTGACTTTTCGATGAAAGATAATGACGAGGTTCACCTAGGTTTATCACGGGCATGAGCAAGTTGAATGGCAGCTGTGTTCGTTGCTACTACTCCCACGGAGTCATTTATAAGAGCGGCAAGCTGGCATTAATCCAAACATGTTTTATCAATGTTAGTATCGAATTTGAAGATCAGAAGCTCCAAATTCACAGCTACTTAATACATAGCAAAATCCAGATTGCGAATTTAGAGGGCTATTGAGTTCTAAAAAGTAAATTCCCTCAAGAGAACAGTAATGTAACCTGGAGTTTCTAGACAGCAAATCTGATCTTCTGTAACTTATCTCACTTTATATTTATTTTTTAACAAAAAGAAAGAGACTAGAAGAACAGTTTTTATTTTTTGAGAACATAAATTAAGCGCTTGAGGAAGTAATCACCAATAAATAAAAAACCTGTGAGGAAGATATGGACCTGGCCAGGTGTGGTAATGAAAACAATATTAGCATCAGCCCCGACAGCTTCTTCAACCTCTTCCCTCTCCTTCTCATGTGGGATTACAAAGAGAGGATTAGCACCCCTGTGCCAAAATTACCAATTTTATAGCGAACCTTTGACAAATGTTGATGGATAAAAATTGCAAATGGAACAAAGGTCCCAAGAAGTCTAGACGTACAAGTACCAAATCCCTGAAGGCAGGCACCATAATCACGTGATGATTTCTCAAAAATGGCGCAAAAGCTAAAAAGTCTTGGGGTTTAATAATTGCAGAGAATTGAGAAAATAATCCACAAAAGGATTTTGTCAAGAACAACAAACCTAGTAGGGTCAAATATCTCATAGAGGATAAGTATGTTTCAAAATAAAAGTTGCAAGTTCTCAGCTATTTCTTGTTTAAGAAAAATACCACTAAAACTCCCTGTACCTAATTGACTTTGCTATTTCAGCCCACATATGGATAGATAGTAAGCTATCAGCATCCCCCTTCGACTGCATTGAAGCTGCAGAATCAGATTCTATGCCATGAATGACCACAAATTTCCCTTTCTCAACACCAGACTTCTTGTATTTAGCCTCAACAAACTCCTTCAATTTCCTCGATAAAGAAACCCTGAGTGGAGGTATAGTTTGTCTTGGCACATTTCGAGCTGGTCTCGCCAGCCAGTCGAGCATTTCATGATACCTTCATCAAGGGACATGAACATTTACATCATAGTCTGCATTACTTTGCCATGTGTGATATCAATATCATCAACAGAAAGAAACTACCAATAAATGCATGCATAGGGAAAGCCCCAAGATAATTTTAAGTAGACACAAGTAAATACAGTAGACGTGAGTAAATAATAGGTCATTACTGTAAATAACCTCACATGTGATATCCACCTTCAGAGAGATTCAAAGTTTCTGGCGTAAATGTTTCAGTTAATAGTAACCCCGCACCTGCTGCATTTACATTTGGATAGACATAGCTCGCTGTAGAACGAGCCGATGTCATGGAGAGAAATGCTGCATGCCCAAGGCCAGCTAATGTGGTTGATAAAACCAAATCATAATACCTACCCTGGTAGCAAATACCAATGATAAAAATATGAGGAGCCTTTACAGTAACTTACTGTAAGGGAAAAAACTGGAGTAAGAAGAAACCGGAAAGTATGTTATGATCCAAATGGACCATAAGAAGGTAATGGCCATGGATGCCCTTGCCATCCAATCAAAACATGGACAGTAACATAGAGAGAGTGGGAAGTGAAATGACCCAACTGGTAGGCTCTACTCCCCCTCTAGTGTTATTCATCCATACCTTGGATGGTGATGACCAGTATGACCATTCTCTCTCTTTGGGTCATAAGGATAATAGCATACCATACCAGAATGAAGAAAATAAAGGATTCAAAATGTTCATAATTCTGAAGACTAGATTCACAAAGAAGTCAGCAGCAGCAGTTGTAATCAAGATTGTCAGAACATTATTTGTACAACAAGAAGAAAACATTGGTATAAAAGAAGTACCCCTGCGCTCTATTTCAGAATTTGCAACTTTGCATATAGCAAAGCGGTTTCATAAAGTCAAGGATTATTGATACATCACTTAACACATATGTTGGTATCCATAAATGCATTTCTTTGTATACGTGAATACATATGGCTTTAACCCAAACATAAGGATTGGATAAGGCCACAAAACCAATAAGGGGTTAGGTCTAGTCAAAACCAGTCCGATTACTATTGGATGATATTAAAAATAAAATAAAAATAGAAATATGGGTTTAAAGTTTGAAATATATGTAAAAAATTGCCCAACTTTATTTAGACGGCATCAAAACCAGTTGGTCTAACCACTCAAATATTAGTTTTAGGCGGTTTTTGCTTTGGACCAGACTAGCCAAAGCATTGGTCAGCAATCCGACCAGTCTAAGAAGGCATTCGAGTCTGGTCTTGATAAGTATGCTTTAAACTAGACCCACAACTAGACATCACACAGTGTCATCTAGGATAACAAAAGAAGGCTGGGGACGATATCATCCTAAATAGCTACCTACCCAATTTTGTACTTGGGATGTACTTTCTTTACTCCAGGAAAAATAAATTTAACCAACGAATGCATCACCCATAAAGAAACAAATCATAATTTCGAAGAAACCCAACCTAAGAAACATCACGCAGAGCAAGCAAAGGCATAATCTAGCAGAAAAACCGCCTACATATAACAAGAAGGCCCGGCTTAAAATTTTAGTGACAATTTCATTTTCCTCACAAGAGTCGAAACAATTTCAGCAGACTTTGGTTAGCAGAAAAGAAAAGAAAAAAAAAGGCAATAGAATTTGTTGATATTATGTATTTTTGACGAGATGGAACACGTTTCAGTCACGTTCAAAAAAAATATAGAGACGTACCATATCTCAGTCCAGAAAATGGATCAGTTTCAGGGAATTCAGCTCAAAATTTCCCAATCTTCTCAAATTCCCTTTGACTTGAAGTCACAAAGCAGAGGGGTCACGATTTAGGGCTATTTTGGGAGTTAAACTCCATTTCCGTAAAATTTCACCCAAGTTCAATAAATATGAAAAGCAAAGAATAAACAGGAGAGAGAGAGAGCAAAAGAACTGCATCTCACAGAAACAAGCCTTACCTCGAGCATTGATGGAAAAATACACAAAACAAAGAAAACAGAACACCCAATTCACCGAAACAGACCCCATATCAAGAATCAGCACATAACATCAAGATAAACCAAAAATCAAAGCAGCGTAAACAAGCATATCCGACCTTAAGAATCAACACAACACACTAAGAGAAATCAAATGTAGAATAACCCAAATTCACAGTCAGGAGCTAGGAGCTCACCTTAAGAAGACCAATCATATCTGTGTACTCAGCAGGAATAGGAAAGGGATCATCAGTATCATATACATCAGCAAACCTCACATTCTTATTTATCTCATAACACTGCTTTCCTCTCGCATTCGCCAAAACATCGATCTCGACACCAGGATACCTATCCTTCAAAAGCTGAATTGCTGGAAAGAACAGTAAATTCTCATAAACACCACCTGAAATTACACAACAGCACCTTCTAACATCACCTCTGAGCATCAGTCCAAGAGATGCGATCTCAACATTGTAACCCTTTGGAAATTTGAGAAACCCATATGGGTTTCCAGGGTTATCAGGTGGTCTTGGGTCTTCCTCTTGCTTTCCTTCTGAAAAAAGAGAGCCACCCTCCATTTCAGGGTCATCACCATAGTCGAACGGATCGAGCCATGGATTCTTCTTCTTGGCATTGGTGGTGCACAATTCAGTTTTTGGGGTTCTAAACAGAGGGGTTCTAATGGAAGAGGAGGAGGTTGCAGAGAGGTGGGGTCTGGAGAAAAGGGGGGAGGAAGAGAGAGAAAGTGCAGAGGATGAAGAGAGAGAAGGAAGAGTGGTCATGGTGGTGTGAAATTCGCGGGCTCTCAAGCCTGGATAACTAGCCGTTGGTTTGTGGGGGTATTTTTGAAGTTGTGGAGATCCGGTGGATAAGCCTGTCTATCTTATGCTTTTGTCCGATGAGCGTGTCTATGCTCCTGAAAGAGCATACTGTATCTCAGTCAAAAGACCTACCTAGGAGGACCTTCTAAGTTTAAAATTTTGAAAACGACTAAGAATCATCTGTAAATTATATTCAAAAGAAAATGCTTAACTTTTTGAGTATTCTTTATACTTAGATATCGTGCTTCAAAAATTAAACGATCTATATTCAATCTCGATACATTGTTTTTTCCCTAATACATAGAGAGTTCAATTGGGAAAGTTTTATTTTATTTTTATTTTTATTTTTTTTACTAGGGCTAGTCTATGGGTTGAAGAGGATTTTGGGATCTTAAAATTACTCCTATATTGGATTTTACTCAGTGGAGTAAATTGATAGTATTCTCCCACACGAGTATAAACTGTTGATCCCAAGTTTGGGTAATCTAATTAAAGGAGAAAAAAAAAAAAAAATTGAAGCCTTAAAGATCGCAAATTGCAAATATTATCTAGACCTCAATTCTAGAATTCATGAACTTACAAATCATTTTTGTTGCTATTTATCTAGTAATTCTAAGGTGGATCTTAAGAATTTAAGATCCAAAAAAAATACTCCTAGTGGTATAACACTTGATCAAAAGAGTAAAAGATTAAATACGAATTTTGTTGTCGCAGGTTCATAGTGCATGCGGATATCCCTCTTGTGTATTACACAAGGTAGAAAAGAGAAAATTATATACATGAATTTTAGTTCTTGAACACCTACAGTTGTCAATAGGTGTTTAATCATAGAGCCGAATTTTTTTCTTGCACTTTTAGAATTTCTGTCCAAATTTTTATGTTGGTCACTAAGTTGACTCATCAGTATTGTTTTTCTCGGAGGAGTAAATGCTTGAAGGATTCACCGACATCATCGTCAAAGCCTTTTGCCAACTAATTGAGTTCGGCTATATGCCTAAAAGAGTAAATACACAATTTGTTCTAGTGATAGCCAACCTCAATTAGTTGAGCTATGATTTTGATTGAACGGTTGAAATTGGCTAATCCATATTTCGCTTATCATAGCTCATTCATGAAAACTTTAATGAACGATAGAAATTGGCTAATTTTCATATGCCCTAATTTGAAATTTTCAACTTAAACCAAACCTAGTTTTCAAAATCCCCATAATTCCAAACTAGTTAACCAAACACAATATTTTCCATTATCAAGTACTTAATTTTCTGCTTCTTCAGATTTTAGAATTGGAAATCTCCAATTCGGGTTCTCGGTTCCTGTTGCCAAACAATCTCTAATATAACTTTAAATTCATTTTTTTCTACTTTTTCGAGAAGCGCTATTTTACTATTATACATCTTTTTTGTTTGAAAACTTGTTTCATGCAGGTTGGACTGCATTTCTACATATGCGGTCTAGAAAGTGTAAAGCATCCATCTTAAAGATGGATGTAAGCACGTGTTATATCTAAAACCAATGAAAACTAAGGGTCCATATGTTTTCTTACTAGAATTATTATTTCTAGTTTTTATTTATTATTTATTATTTATTTTTTCATATTTATGATATCCATATTAGAGATTACATGTCCTTAAAAATTAAGTCTTAAAATCCATCTCAAAAATATATTTATTAAGAAGCCCGCATTTTTACATATGTGAGCTCGGCCATATAGAAATCAAGTCCTTTTTGCTTTGTTTTTTGAAGCTCTTGTCGAAATAAATATTTAAACATGGATTAACCATTATGCTAGGTACAAGAGTCTCACATGTAGTCCTTAA